CGTGTTTTATAAATGTATCGTGACGTTTGACGGGTAGGGCAGGCAAATGGGGTGTATTTTTGACTGAAGAACATTTAAAAATATTTTTACTAAATTTACTTAAATAAAATTTACCTACCTTCAAAAGTCCTAAAGGTTATGACGTCCGGTGCATTCGTATCTGGCGATGCAACGGTGTTAGAGTCCCACTAGCGGGTACCAATTTTTCTAATGAAATACGTACTTATCAAATGTTCACGATTGACTTCCATGGTGAACGAATAGCATGGTGTTATAAAAATGGAACCCGCAAAATTATAATTTGTGCAATTACTGGTGGTAGGACCTCTCGTGAGTCTGCACGGGTAGGTACTACCCCGCCTATTTCTGCCGTGAAGCAGTAATGCGTTTCGGTTTGAAGGGTGGGGTAGCCGTTGTTACTATACTGAGACCTTAGAACTTATATCTTAAGGTGGGTCGCGCATTTATGTTGTAGATGTTTAAGGGCTCCAGTAACCACAACACCAGGTGGGCTGTGAGCTCAACCTTCAATCAAAGCAAAAAATAATTATCGGGAAACCAAGTCGGCCTTCAGCTTACATTTAGGAATAGTAACCTAACACGGTGTATTTTAATCTCCAGTCTGAAACAGGTACCTAGTGAAATCAGCATTGAAATCCCTTTCTTAATTTAGAAGAGATACAACAAAACGCAATTAAGCGTGATTTATGACTTACTATATACCAAACGTAATGACTTACTCAGTGCAAATATATTGAATAAAAAACAATAAAGCAGAAATATTATTGTAGAAATACATTGTGTTTAAGCTATTATGTTTTGTTTCAAAGAAAACAGTAAAACAAAATGATTTAAAATATGCCATTCAATTTTATTTCACGTAGGTATGTAATAAAAGTAATCTTGTAGTTGCATTTTTTAGAAACCTTGATATTTGTAACCAACGGGGAAAAAAGAGCTAGTTGGTTAAATAATATTTTTTAAATTACTTTTTGACTAGAATCAATTCAATGAGATTCAGCACTGACCGCTATTCGAATATTCCATGTTTATATTCGATTCGCAGATTGTTTTCTTGACAGGTGATAGAAGACCATAGACCTATATAGTAGGGACACGACATATTGTTCTATACGTACAATTGCTTATAAAAATAGCACCCATTTTGAAGGCACATAAACATATATCTATCTCGTTCTTACTCAGAGCACTTTAACTCGCAGAAAAACAATATAACAGTATTTCAGTGCGTAACTAAAATTAAACATGAATATACGTAAATCTCTAATGAGGCCGAAAATCCGCCATGTTTAGCGCACCAAATGTCATTGTCACGTCAGTTCGGCCGTCTGTTTTGGGTTGTACATTATTTATTGACTTTGATATCGATTTAATATGATTGCTTATATAAAAAAATTCTTATTTTATCATGCTTAGAACATACAAAAATAATAATTAAAACATATTTTATAGGATCTCAATAAAGTCGATGCCCCAAAACTATTATCTATATATATTTAAATTAATTATGAAATATGAATAATATAATGCCCTCATCCAAAAAATCTGACACCATTTTTCGGTCGGAATCTATTGATCATGACACCAATCATAAATACCTCTTCATAAAAAAAGTCATCAAAACATATTTAGACATTCTGTTTAGATATTTCGGGAAAAAGGCTACCGACAAAATCTCTTTGGAACTATTTAAATAAAATAGTTTTATTCCGTAGTGAGTAAAACACTATTGTAAATTCGTTAAATATTTAATAATTAAGTGATTTTAGAGACGAAGTCACAAGGAATGACGATTGTAATTAATGAATAAATGTTCTGTAGGTGTTTTTTTTATCACGCGGTCCCTTGATAAGTTTAAAATTTGAAGTTGCGGCGCACCTTCCTTAAGGTGCGCTGCGGTAGTGTGTTACGGACTTTACGTCAGCAAAACAATTAAAATAGATTGAATTGTCTAAGAAAAACACGTACTCAAAATACGATAACATTTAGCATGCTAGAAATGGGCAGATGGCACTGTACTACGCCATATCTTAATGTTTTTCGACAAACGACAACTTTATAAAATCAGTGTAGCAACTTTTAAAAATCATAATATCGTTTACTTGGCAAACTCGAAGGACGAACTTGTCTAAGATTCATATCATATTTGTCATATAAATCATATCATATTTGCACATAACAATATACCTACTTACTTCCTATTAAAGTATAAATTCTACAAATAATTAATACTCAACAATATTTAAAATAAAATGATTCAAGAACGTTTATCGATAAAATCTGATAACATTGAAATCTTTTGTACAGCACTAAAACCGCCATGTTTTGTGGCCAGATGACGTCACAGCGGTACGAATTTTTTGTTGTCGTTTCATTTCCATAGGTTTCCTACTTCAGTGTAGAAGACTGTAATGTTAATTCTGTCACTTCTGTCAGCTTAATTTTGTAACTTTTAGACATAGACCTATTAGATATATTACCTGTCCTGCTCTACCTATCATTTGCTTATTTTTGCCTATGATATTATTTTCTTGTCAGCTTTACTAGCTATTTAAAATAGTTAAAAATAGTATAAATTAAGCGATGTGTTGCAAGTGGACATGTTGGGACTCGACCATCACGCGTGCTTACGTTGTGAATAAAAAGTTTCCTTAACATCAAAAATATACATATCCCGTATTAGTTTATAGTTTTAATAACTTTGTCATTTACTGCTAAATTTATTTCGAAAAGACACCGCAAGTGTAAAATATTTTCTCGTACAAAATACATATCAAAATTATTTTAGCCAAATAACGTGTCACGTGATGCGGTCACATTAATGCCGGGAAGAAATACTAGTTGTTTTACCGCAATTTTGGTAAACATTCGTCTTGACAGTTCATATTTGGCAGTCGTGAAGTAGGTAGGCATGTGGGAAATTTATTATGGAAAGTTTTTCGATAAACCAACGTGCTTTAATCGTTAAAGCATTTTATCAAAATCAATTACCGATTACTGTGACGATGAGAAAGTTACGTGAAATTTTTGGGAGACACAACGTGCCAACAAAACGCACTATTTATCGTGTAGTGAATGATATCGCAAAGAATGAGGGTATGTAGGTAATAGGCCCAAGCATGGACCACAACTTACTGCAAGATCGGCTGAAACATTACTGCTGCTCAAGAAAGTGTTCAAAACAACCCATCAACCTCAATTCGACACCGTGCTCAAGAGCTTGGTCTTCAAAGAACAACTTTAACCACAATTTTGCACAAGGATTTGCATTTGTTTCTCATTAAAATTCATTCGACACAAGAGCTTCTTCCACAATACCATTTACGCCGCCGTACGTATGCCAATAAGGTGTCACAGCTCGCCCATGACAACCCCGATTTTCATGTAAAAATCATAATGAGTGACGAGGCACATTTTCATTTGAATGGATATGTGAAATGTGTGAGAATGTAATGAAAAATGTGCTCAAAAGGGCTCGCATTTGTGAGGCAAACAGAGGTGGACATTTACCTGATATTGTATTCCATACATAATTACCGACATTAAATAAAATATTTATCAATAATAAGATCCATTCTCTTTCATTTAATCAAAAATTATAAACAAACAAAGTACATAGTATGCCTTCCCGGCGGACACCCTGTATAATCTTTCAACTGATACACTTTAGTTTAGGTTGCGTGTATTCAAAAATACATAACTTGTCAGTGATCTTTTTAGAACGGAGAACAAAATCAAATAAATTAAACCTATGGCTGTTAATTTAGAAAATGGAGAAACTGCTGCTTAGTTATTTTTAGTAAGAGATGAGTTTAAGTTTCTTACGATAGTTGTAAATTTGGACAATCATTGTTCAAATACTAAAACTATAGCAAAGTGCTTGTATTAGCTTAAAGTACAATATGCAGATTGTCAAAAATAACGTGGCGCAGCTACCGCTCTAGAAATCGAAGTTATTAGTGAATATCTGCTTACGTAAATGTCAATTTCTCAGCTCCTTTTTGGTACCACTTCAGTTTATATGAAACCAAGCAGTGAAAAGAAAAGAAAGAAGAAAAGAAGAATTTTTAAAGGTGATTCGGAAATTATTATAGTAAAGAGTATTTTTTTGTTCTACAAAGAGAAGAGTTCACGGCTCTGGTTTTGATATGGATACCGGGTTCTATCGACATAGCATCGCGCAAGTCAAGTGGATAATACATACATAAATTAAGCCACGAAGTCGCAATGACTAGGAAAAGTTTTCTGATTCATGAGACTAACCATAGTATAATATTATTGAAACTAAATATACTAATATTATAGGTAATAGAAAAGTTAAATAACTAATATCGCACCTTTCTGTTGACTTAGATAATAATATTTCTTGTCTTCATAGCAACTAGAAAAACATACGTACAATTGCGAATATTTTGGACGGTTAAATTTGAGGGAACTGGATTCTGTAGGTGAGAGGCGATTTAAAAAAACACTCTGCTTCATGATAAATATTATTATAATTAAATTACAAATACTTTGTACACTATTACACCATAATAAAAATTATATATTTTTATAAAACTCTCAGATGTTGCTCTGACCGTGTCTAGATGAGAAGTTCTTGTCTTCACAGTTCACAGCCGAGAAGATAATTATATGTTTTAGACATTTAAAATAATTCCATCGAAATCTGTAACCTTTCAAACATGTGTCAAGTGTTGCCGGCCATTACTTTTATATTCAAACTCCAACAGAATATCCCGGAATTGTGTCTATAGATTCAGAGATAAATTGTTGATTTATAGTTTTATGAATTATGAATACTGTTAATAAGAACCACATTAATAGTATTAATAAATTCATAATCATAACTTTTTGAGTCTTTATATTCGAACTCCTATGCCTTAACTAAATTAGAAAAAATCTAGAGAAAAATATACAAAAAACACAGTTCAGCTGTCACTCGTGGTTTATTTTCGTCATTTCATTTGTTAAGTGAACATACACATTTCAACCTTTATTGTTCGGAGACTTACAAAATTTTTGTATCCTTGAAATTATTATGTTCGTTTTGATAAAGGTAATAACATTGTATAAAATTAGGGCTAATTACCAGTTCAAAAACAAAGGATTTGAATTTTTTGTTTGAAATTAAGTCGTAATGTTTTGAAAAGTTATACTTTACGTTTCTGAAACGTAGTAAATAATGTGTAGATAGTACATGGCCTCTTTAAAACGCAATAAGGCGTCGTAATCTTAGTTAGACATAATAAAACGTAATTTAGCAATGGCTTACTTCGGAAGACGCGATGTTACGTATAGTGCCCTGAGCAACGAAATCACTCCACCTTTAGGTGGATTGGCTGACAATGTGAACATAACGTCGCCTAAAGGCAGTGTAGATGCTGATCATGAAGATTACAGTAAGGTGATCATCCACGAAGTGCCAAAAACGAAAGGTAAACCACATTGAAAGTTATTGTCTTTGTTCAATTTTTAATTAACAGCAAAACTTGCAGTATAATTAAATAAAAATTAAAATACAAAATCAATTAAATAGCTTCAACTGTGCTAGAAATACAATAATTTACCCATATTTAAGAAATGTGTTCTGTGCAGTGCTATTATGATAAAAACAAATTTCTTTAAGTTAACTAACAGTCAACATAGAAATAGTTGCAGCAAATGAAATACAAAATGATTAAAGCTGTCCCTTTTTATTGCCCTTGATGACAGGCAACCATACAGCCCATCTGATGCTAAGTGCTCATTATTTCCCAAACTGATAACAGGTTCAACCAGTTTGCCTGACCGAAATATTGAGGAATGTATTTATAATCATTACATGGGCCCAGAGTACAAAATAAACTTACTTTTTAAACTACCACCTTAATAACATTGCCAGAAATTTAATGTTTATGGCAGTAGATCTATTTTGTACTTTTTATTTTCTAATTTACCTATCACCAACCATTAAACAAGCAAATTATGTATTACAGGAGGATGGAATCACATAGATGATTTAGATTCATTCTTTGTCAGAATGTATAGATATTATGTGAGAGGAGGCTTTTATCCAATGATAATGTCAGATTTGTTTTGTCTGCTACAATTGATTTTTATCATGTGGTTCTCAACATTTCTCGTGCACTGTGTAAATTATCCCAGATTGTTCAGGAATGATGAAATCGCAAACCGAAGTGAAAAACTCAGCTTGAATGATGTAATATATCCAACAGATGAGTGTATTGAGAGCATATCATGGAAATGGTAAGTTAAAGTAACATGTAAAATGGCTTATATTCTACAAAGTGACAGAAATATAATACTAAATTGTTTTCTTTGTCATAAATGTAAAAAGACTGGGATTTGTTGTGATAGCCTAGAAATACATTAATATTGAGATTTTAACTCTGTCACCATGTGGATGATGCCATTCACATTTTGATATGTAAGCTCTGATCTACTTAACACTGGTTGGGCTTTGGGCTCATTCACCAATCTATGCAAAAAATAAAATATGTTTTCTTTATTGATTTTTTATTTCTTTTAGGTGGTGTCTCATTGTTTTATGTTCTGTCATATGGATTATGAGATTGTTCCTGTCGATTTACCAATTATACTATGCGTATGATACAAAGCTATTTTACAACAATGCCCTCAAAATTAACGAGGTAACAACTATAACTTTATTACCTATACGATTTGCACTTGAAGTGTTATAATAGTAGTTTATATGAAGCTGTAATAGCTGGGAGGCAATTAGCTTAATTTTTTTTTTAAGCTTAAGTAAAACTGTCCTTTTTCATAATATTATCTAATTAATATCCTTATTATAGAGTGATCTGGCCTGGGTGAACTGGTCAACAATACAAGATAGGGTACGGGAAGCACAACCTGAACATCACATGTGTGTTCACAAGCAAGAGATAACAGAATTAGATATATACCATAGGATACTCAGGTGAGGAAAATATGCTAATATCGTCTTCTCGCATTAAAACTGTATAATCTCAAAACTTACTATACATTACAGGAGAGTGTTTTAAAGGTTTAACAAGTGATATTTTTTATATTAATCATCTTTGCAACATTAATTTTTTAGTTTTTACCAGTTACTTTATCTGTCTTTTAAAGTAAGATAAAATTAAGTATTAATTTTAATAGTAGTCAAAATATAGGTAAAGTAAAAAAAAGTACTAAATCTAAACTACGCTCTTTTGACAGTATTTATGAGAAAAATACTGGTGATACCAAATGATTCTGCATATTAACTGAATTTTGAATATTTTTTGAAATTGTACACTTTTAATGCGAAAAGACGATATGTCCATAAATTTAAGAGATATAAAGGTTTTTTTGTGAAGTATCTTGGAAAATATGAAATGGTTCTTAGATGCCAAAAAGTGAAATTGTAAAGGTCAAATATGTTGAAAAAGGAATGAGTCATAACCTGATGATTATATTATGTGTATCTAGTCTAGGCTGCTTTGCACTACTACTATAATATCTCTATCATCAATCTGTAATTGTGTTTTCACATCTCCATTTTGAAGATTATGGGTAATCAATATATTAAAGCATGTGTTACAAATTGAGCTTTAATATCTATAAATGCCGATAAGGCCCATTTCTAGCAGTGTATATAAGTGTTTGCATATGATGACAATGATGATGTCTGTACATTATTTTCCAACATAATTGAATCTTTGAATTCAAGGATTTAATATTCACGTTGTAGTGCCTGTGCGCCACATCATCAGCATAATAATGTAGTATTATTTTTATTTACTGATATTTAATTATTCACTGATTAAAATATGTATAACAAGTAATTATTGAAAAACCAGGCTGGGATCTTGAATCTTATAAAGAGATTATAATTGTTGTATTGTAAATTCTCTATGTAGACAGAAGATCTTGGTGTTCCTGTATTTAAAGCATAATGAATCTAAGGTAACTAACTCTAAAGATACAAAATTATGTACGATTAATTAGAATTTAGTAGGTTCCTTATAAATTTACACTCCTTTAAATTGTTAATTACAAATATAATGAAAATGTAAAAGATGATAACAACAAAATATTCATATTGGTACCTTAACATGGAATTGTGGAGTACTTTTGTAAATTTCTTGTATTAATGTACAAGTGTCCCCTTACGTAATTTTTAGTAGTTTAGTAAAGACTTGACACAATCTATGCTGATTGAAGGACGAAGATTCAATTAAATTATCGTAATATTTCTTTACTAAAGTTTGTGTTAATTTTCTACAGCACATATTCGGATTTTGAATATGTCGTGTGTATCTTGATTGCCAAATTTTCATTGGTTCAATTATCATTGTTACAGGTTCACAAATTACATGGTGGCGATGGTTAACAAGAATTTACTGCCATTGCAAATACATATACCATGCGTTGGTAACTTTCATTATCTGTCGAGAGGTTTGAAATGGAACTTGGAGTTTCTCTTGTTTTGTAAGTACAATGCTCTTGTTTACATGTTAACTCGGTACGTCATTAATCTGTTAATTAGTTTCCTTTTATAATATTCTTGTGCAAACTGCAGTTCTATCCCATAGACACAACCTAGTGGATCGCGATTCCGATCCGGTAGTAAATTCGGCGAAGCACTGCTTTTGCTAAAGTTAGTGCTAGCAATGCTCTCAAGTTGAGTCGTGAGCTCACCTACCCGTCCGCGACAAGCCGGATTAGCCCCATAAGCTATCAGAGAGTAGGTAGGAAAACAAAAATCATCTTGGGACTCCTCTGTAAGTTAGATGAGAAATAATCTGAGCAACATTATAAAATAAGTTCATTATATTTAGTTAGACCAAAATAATTTTTAACAGCAACAAACATATCGTCTTCTCGCATTAAAACTGTATAATCTCAAAACTTACTAAATATTACAGGAAAGTGTTTTAAAGGTTTAACAAGTGATATTTTTAATATTAATCATCTTTGCAACTTTTATTTTTTACCAGTTACATTATCTGTCTTTTAAAGTAAGATAAAATTATGTATTAATTTTGTTAATAGTCGTCAAAACATAGGTAAACTAAAAAAAAACCAATTTAAACTAAACTACACTCTTTTGACAATATTTAATTTTATGAGAAAAATACTGGTGATACCAAATGATTCCGCATATTAACTCAATTTCGAATATTTTTGGAAATTATGCAATTATAATGCGAAAAGACGATATGTCAATCCTAGAAGTTAACATTTGCAAAAATTATTCTTTAAATCATTTTTCATGCATGTAAGTTATTTTTGTTTCTATAGCTAGTCCGTGGAGTCCGTGGGAGAACTGCTGGCAGCTCCGTAGATGCTACAAGGAACATTCAAAGAGAATGATTCTGGCACGACAACTCCAAAGGCAGATTGTTGTTCTTGCATTACTCAATTTTCTCCTTGCACCATTTATTCAAGCCTGGCAAATATTGTATTTCTTCTTCAACTACGCTGAGGTATGTATTGTGGATTTTTAGTATGATTTGTGTATGTATTGTATTTGTTGCGGCTTTGTGTGACGTATTTTAGCATTCGCGCGTTTTGCTTGCGAAATTATTTTTTTTTGTTAGCTTTTTGTTGATTTATCCAGTTCCGTTTATTAAAAGAGAATTTATTATTTTTAATGTATGTACGCGCAAAAATTTTGAACTTAAGTTATGATGCTCTTTTTGCTCTTTGTTCTTTGATGACGATGTGCAGGCAAAAATTTGTATGTTTAAAAAAAAAAGTGTGTGTGTATGTGTATTTACTATATTAGCTCTTCCTAAGTTATGGTATATTGAGTTTATAAAGCAGAAAAGTCTCAGAAAATATTGAAAATTAAAACTTTAAAAACAAAAACAAAATAAATTAAAAAAAGAGGAAACAATGCTTGATAATGATACATTTAAAAATGTCACATTTTAGTACCTCGAAAACCAACTTAAATGTTCCTTGCTGTGCAATTTTGTTGCAATACGCGTGCTTCAGTTTTCATATATCACTGCGAAATTTAAAAATAGGCACTTTTTAACGAAATACGTACTCAACAAACGTTCACGATTGACTTCCACGCTGAAGGAATAACACGGTGTAATAAAAATCAAACCTGCAAAATTATAATTTGCGTAATTACTGGTGGTAGGACCTCTTGTGAGTTCGCGCGGTTAGGTACCACCACCTTGCCTATTTCTGCCGTGAAGCAGTAATGCGTTTCGGTTTGAAGGCTAGGGCAGCCGTTGTAACTATACTGAGACCTTAGAACTTATATCTCAAGGTGGGTGACGCACTTGCGTTGTAAATGTCTATGGGCTCCAGTAACCACTTAACGCCAGGTGGGCTGTGAGCTCGTCCACCCATCTAAGCAATAAAATACGTACATAAGATATGTAAATCGCATGTTATTTCAGTTAATAAAGCGGTCGCCTGGATCGTTAGGGCTTCGTACGTGGTCTTTATACGCTCGCGTCACCCTGAGGCATTTCAACGAGCTCGAACACGAACTACGCGACCGACTGAACCGAGCCCACAAGCCCGCGACGAAGTACCTCGCCAGCTTCACATCGCCCATAACTACTGTTATAGCCAAGTAAGTGTTGATACGTATCGACGCTTGAAAGGCAAACGTGACTAAGCGACGATGCGGTAGGCAGCGGCTTGGCTCTGCCCCTGGCTTTGCTGAAGTCCATGGGCGACGGTAACCACTTACCATCAGGTGTGCCGTATGCTCGTCTGCCTACAAGGACAATAAAAAAAAAACTGCTTTGTACATAAATGAGAGGCAATAACCATATTTGATGCGAAAAAAATACATTTTTCTAGATCTATTAAAATCATTTCAATCCTACAGCCAGATTTGTTAAAATAGATGATTTTTCAGGTATTTCAACTTTAAATTAGTCTACTGTAAAGTTCACGCATTGTCGCTTAGTCACGTTTGCCTTTCAAGCGTCCGATATGTAGAATGTAACGCTGGAAGGTCACTCTTTCGCATTAGAATCCATCCGTGAACCATCTAGTATAAATTGATAGACCTCATAATGTGTACACCACTAAATTTGAGACACAAGATCGAAGTCTTGTTTGCATAACCGCTGACCACACTTCGATTGCATTGCGACAGAAGTATGTAGGATGGTGGTCCTAATTTGTGCGGTCTTACAATAATTAACTTTAACATCGTACGCTGTATTGTAACTCCGCACAGGTGAGTATTGCTGTCCTGCCTCTATCCCCGTCAAGCATTGTGGGCTCCGGTCTTAAGAATGAGAGGAGTGATATTAATATATTTGAGACATTAATCTCATGCTTCAAAACTACAGTGGCATATATTTGGGGCTCTGGTAACCACTTTATGTCAATTACGTCAAAAACAATAAAAAACAATCAGACATTATTCTTTACGAGTGATCCCCCAGAAGTTGAAATTCGATAATTATTAATTTAAATCATAAGTTTGAACATTATTATGGTTCTATTGTCAAAAACTTTACTTCTATAATCCATTATCGCCAAGGCTACACTATAGACAAATAATATTAAAGATTAACAATATTGGTCTCTTCTCAATCAGACCAAAGACTTAAACAATAAACAAAAGAGTATATGCATGCGTGTGTGTGTCAAATATAAGGTAGTGTGTGTAACGTTTTATTTATTGATTTAATCATTTTTTATGCATAATTTACAAATATATTAGCCTTCTGCACTCCTCTTTATCTATACTAATATTATAAAGAGGAAAGATTTGTTTGTTTGTTTGTACTGCATTGACTCCGAAACTACTGAACCGATTTGAAAAATTCTTTCACTGTTTGGAAGCTAGTGTGAGCCCCGAGTGACATAGGCTATAATCTTTTTTGAAAAAATTAGGGATCCTTACTAAAACTCCTGGAATGTAACCCAAAGTGTAAAAAAAAATACCTAAAATATTATTTATATCGCGTTCCCTGCGAAAACTATTGATGATAGAATAAAATATGTACTACGACTTTGTAGAACACATTATTATTTACAAAAAGTGTCGCGACAGCATATGTCTAGCTATTGTAGTTATGCCGCAATAAGTGTTCTTTTATTTAAAAAAATAAAACAACGTCAAATATCGTTGAAATTTTTGTTAAATACCCGAGCGGAGCCGGAACGGGCCGCTAGTTCTCTATGAGGGTAGGAAATTTCATACTCCTCCGTCCGCGCAATTTTCGTAAAAAGGGATGCAAGTTTTTGATTCACGTATTAATAAATAGATATAATATTAAGTAAGGATATAATATTGCTACTATCGACAGTTTAGATTAGCCTAGAAATTATCTAAATATTGAAGGGATTTATTTCGCAACTATAAAAAATGATACACATTGTTTTTAATTGTTTTCCCTAAAGCAGTCCCAGTTTCGGTTTCGAAGGGCGCTTATCACCTTTATTGCAATGTCATCGAAAATCGGATCTCATATCTTAAAGTGCATGATAGAATGTACGTTCTAATTGTATATGGACCCAGATAATTGAACTGTGACAGGCTTTAAACAGATTTGTGACGTTGTTTGAAGTTTGATCAACTGATACCGGATTTTTATACAATATTCTATAACTAACTTGCGACCCGCCCTCGCTTCGCTTAGGGAACTGTAATTTATTATTGATAACAGTATTTTTCCACTATTTAATGGATGGTATTATATATGTAAACCTTCCTTTTCAATCACCCTATCTATTAAAAAAACCGCATCAAAATCCGTTGCGTAGTTTTAAAGATTTAAGCATACGTAGGGATATAGGGACAGAGAAAGAGACTTTGTTTTATACTATGTAGTGATAATGTAATTAATTGTGATCTGGGGGATATAATGCTTTAATAATAATAGTCAACCGACGCAATCACGTTCAATATACTTTTGCTAAACTGTAGAATTAAATGTCTTGAACTATGGGATTTCACGATTAATATGCTCGCTTATATCATTCTGCTTGATCGGGACTGCTTAAACAGATAAGTGTCAATATCGTTATCTTATTTACTGTTTGTAAAACATTCATTTTCAGAGTTCATAAGTTATCATTTGAAGATAATTTTGTTTTAAAACAGGTCGCTTTTGTGATTGTACAGTTAAATACCTAATCAAAACATTGCACACGCAATGTACGTATCAATCACATAATCAAATCTGACCCGCTTTGGTCTTTTGGCGTTTCGATTTTGGTTTGATCACCATCAAATTCACAGTATCACCCGCTAAGACAATCGAAATATTTCCTGGAAATTTCAACGAAATCGATCAGACCGTTTCGGACTCTATAGGAAACATACATACACAAATCAACCATTATATGTACATGCTTATATGTATATATGTACATATGTATGTGTACATATGTATATGCTTTTGCCAGCGACTTCGTCCGCGTGGAATAGTTACTGTGGCATAACGCGAAATTTTTTTATTTTTTTTTATTGCCTTTGTAGGCAGACGAGCATACGGCCCACCTGATGGTGAGTGGTTACCGTCGCCCATGGACTTCAGCAATGCCAAGGGCAGAGCCAAGCCGCTGCCTACCGCTTAATACTCTCCACAAGCCCTTTACCCTTTACCCCCTCTTCATTTACGTAGAAAGTGAAAATACTTTTGAATAATAGAATGATAAGGAACTATTTAAGGTATCAAAATCACGCTTTTTAACCGACTTCAAAAGAGGAAGTTATCAATTCGACCATAATTTTTTATCTATGTATGTTCACCGATTTCTCGAGAATGCCTGAACCGATTCTGATCATTCTTTTTTCTTTTTTTTGTTCGAAAGGATAGTCTTCTGGAATGGTCCTGTTTACATCAAAATCTGATGATGGGATCTTGGAGAAATCCAGAAAAATCTATAATTGTCAAAGCCTATCTTGAAGTGATTTGGATGTTTCCATGTTGTAATGAATAACGTATTTATTTGGATAGGGATTAATATCATCTTTATAAAAACGCCTTCTCAAATAATGCTTTATTTTAGAACAAATTTGGTTAATATAAAAAACGTTATAGTGAGCCAACCTTAATTTATAGACATATGCTGTCGCAGACCTTTTTTAGATCTTTTGAAGGAGAACAATTCTCTAATACATTACTTTAGCGAAACTTTAACCGTTTCCATAGCGCAGGCAGTGAAAGCTCTCAAAAGGAAAAAAAACCCGATTTGACACATTCTTTATAGGTGCTCCGCTTGTATTGGTCTTAGCGTTATATTATATAGCCTATAGCTTTCCTCAATAAATAGGCTACTTAACATTGAAAGAATTTTTCAAATCGGACCAGTAGTTCCTGAGATTAGCGCGTTCAAACAAAAAAAACAAACTCTTCAGCTTTATAATATTAGTATGTAGTATTATGTATACTATAGTACTATAGTATGTGTAGTAGTATATAGTATGTATGTAGTAGATTTGCTTCTTTCACTTATTTTATTTTAAATCGTGTACAAATATAGTAATCTATGCCATACTAATATAATAAATGTGAAAGTATGAGTGAGCTAAATCATGAAATATTTTGTCTCACGCTCAATGAATTTGGAAGAAATTTCTCATACAAAAAATTTACAACCTTGATCACACAAAGCATAGTTTACACGTACGATAGTGTGTTCATTGGTCCGTCATATTACGTAATGGATCTATAAATCGATTGGTAATTTATAGACATGGGAGAGTGACGAAAGCAAGTTTTTTGTGTTGATATAATGCAACGTGTTTTATTTTGAATAACAATTTTAAACACAGATAAAACCGGCGGTTGCGTCCTGTTAAATTTTTTATTTATGTTGTATATTTACAGTATGTTACAGGTTTTATTGACGTTGTTGATCAGGCGTGTTTAAATCGCGTGCAGTTGTCATCAGCTAAAAACCAGGATGTCTAGGATATTTTAGAGATATTGTTTTTTTTTTACAGAAATGTAGTGTTTCTCTCGGCCAGCGTGTTGGGTGTTTTGGTCTTCCTGTCCGTCTATGATGAAGACGTGCTCACTGTGGAACACGTGCTCACTATCATAACGGTTCTCGGGTGTGTTGTGGCCGGCGCAAGGTAAGAGTAGTTAAATACTATTTTATGTACTTATTTATTTAGGCATTACTTGATTTCGTGCATACCGATAAATACTAGAAGAACATACATGCAAGGATCGCTTAATATCATAAAACCTTATGTACACTTAAATATAATGGATATAATTCCGATTTTAGAATAATATGCGCTCGCTTGTTCAATAGCAGTAACAAAAAACAAACAAGAACCATGTGGATAAGGATTATTTGTCCAATATTAAATAATTATGTGGGAACGAATCTAGATTTTTTTTAAAAGTATTTTCCTAGCCAGTCACCTGACCAGACAGTACAAGTATTCTCATTATAGACCACCTATTTTTTATGTGGGATGGACGGTATTTGAAAATGATTTAATAGGATATGTGTAATTGATGTGAAAATTATATCCATTTGGATTGAATAGTTTAATTTCTGCAATAATCCCTATGATCCCAATTCAATAATTCCAGTGCGCATGATATCTTATTTCCTCGTCAATTGTCTCAGCAGGATTCGAGTTATTAGAACTCAAGCCTCAAACATCAGCCACGGCCAAATTTAATTAAACTAGTGGTCCCGCAGTAGTCGAAATTCGATTATAATTAAATGGAATAATAAGTTTCAACATTATTATAGTTCTATTGTCAAAAACTATTATACTTCTATAATATAATCTTCCATAGATAAATAATATTAAAGACAAACAATATTAATCTATTCTAAATTTGACAAAGACTTTAAACAATAACAAAAGGTTGACAATTGACAATAAACAAAAAGTAATTTATGTATGTGTTGTGTCAAATATATGGTGGTGTGTGTAATGTTTTTTTTATTGTTTAATGTATTATTAACGCATAATTTTAAAAAAAATACGATTCTTCTCTCCTTCTCTATATTCGCTATAAGTGTGGGAAATTTCATACTCCTCCGTCCGCGCAATTTTCGTAAAAAGGGGTAAAAGTTTTTGGTTCACGTATTGATATATCGACACTTGAAAGGCAAACGTGGCTAAGCGAATTGGGGTGAACTTTACAGTAGACTAATTTAAAGTGAAAATACCTGAAAAAAAATCTATTTTAACGAATCTAGCTGTAGGATTGGAATGATTTTAATAGACCTAGAATTTTTGTTTTATTTTTTCGCATTGAATATGGTTATTTCCTATCATTTATGTATAAAGCAGTTATTGTCGCTTAGTCACGTTTGCCTTTCAAACGTCGATATAGATTTAACCACATGGATTCGTTTTGAAACGTGGTTTTTAGGGCTCTAATAGGCGACGAAGAACGTCTGGGCGGTGGTTGTACGGGCCCGGCTCGCGGCGAGGAGCTGTTTGTTCAAGTACTGGGACACGTTCACTATTTGCCAGCCGCGTGGCGCGGTAGGGCCCACACGAAGGACGTCGCAGCACATTTTCAACAGTTGTTCCAGTTTCGGGCGGTACGTTGTTTTCCGAATTTATTATAAATTATCAGCTTTTTTTTTTTTTGTTAATTTGGAAGCCTCCGCTCGAGATGGGTTAACAGATCGGAAGTGTGAATTTCGTTTGGACTGTGTTTTTTGCTATATGCTGATAGCCTTGTGAGGCTATTTCAGCGTAACCTTAACTTGTAGGCTCACGGGGCTCAAACCGGAGTAATGCTAACACTGACCCTAGCAAGAGCAGTGCTTCGCATAATCTACCACCGGATCGGAAAGGCGACCCGCTGAGAAGATCCGACGAGAAACTCAGTGGGCTGTGTCTGTGGGTTAATTTACTCGTCGAGCCCTTCGTCGCAAGCGACGGATTCGAAATTGTTTAATGTGAATTTTTAATATCGTGTTTTTGTTATTTATTATATCTTATACTGCAGGTTTACATAATATTCGAGTTGTTAAGTCCTCTGCTCTGTCCTCTCGTCCTGTTGTCGCTTCGAACTCGAGCACTTGACATCGTCGACTTTTATAGAAACTTCACAGTTAACGTGCTGGGCATCGGCGATGTGTGTTCATTTGCGCAGGTAAATAAATATCTAACTAATATATACACAAATAAAGTAAATAAAAAAATACGTTGGGAATATGTAGTAAATAACATTTAAACGTAATAATTTATATTAAATTTCTCGTAGTTACGACGTTTTCTTTAATTATTGCAAACGCGCCCATATAGTGCCCTATCATCAGCCTCCCCAAATTAAATAAAAATTATGCATAATCACTATAATTATTATAATAATATATACATACCTATAATTTTTTTCCTAAAGAATTTTGTCGTTAATTTTTCAGTTCATAAATTCAACTAAGTGTGAAGTCGGTATTATTTATATATTTATATGATAGAATTTGAGACAACATTCAACGTAAAAGTCATTTAAAAAGAAAAGCATTTTTGAAAATCGTTTCAGCTGGATATACGACGTCACGGTCATCCTGAATGGCAAACACCAGGGAAATATGCTGAAAAAATGAATGGTACGTCGTGATTATTATTTTTTAAAATGAATAATAGAAAGACTAGTTCACAGATGTTCAAATGTGACCATAACCAATGTAAATTGGAACTAAAATTTTTATTACTCAAGTTTCTCGCTTAAGATATTTTTTGAAGATTTTAATCAATTAACTAAGTAAATTATTCAAGTCCAGTCCAGTTTTATTGCTCTTCTAGGTTAAGTGCTAATTTTATACTAAATAATAAATCGTTTGTTGAAATTGTAAATAATCAGAGGGTCAGTTTGGACGCTGTGATTCTGTACAAAGTATGAATTCAATCAGATAGTAAAACACCATTTATTAAGGGATTTGAAAATTTATTTATAGAGGAAAAAAGTTTTAAACCATATTTTGCATAACTCATATTTGTGGTGGTATTACTGGTGGTAGGACCTCTTGTGAGTCCGTGCGGGTAGGTACCACCGCCCCGCCTATTTCTGCCGTGAAGCAGTAATGCGTTTCGGTTTGAAGGGTGGGGCAGCCGTTGTAACTATACTGAGTCATAGAACTTATATCTCAAGGTGCATTTGCATTGAGCCCACAGATGTCTGTGGGCTCCAGTAACCACTTAACGCCAGGTGGGCTGTGAGCTCGTCCACCCATCTAGAAATAATAATAAAAAAATCAAAATATTTACTTATCCCGATAGGCAGTACGCAGTACGATCAAGGTGAAGGTGGGAAGACTGAGTTGTCTCTGGTAGCGTTTTCATGTCGGCACCCAGGCTGGCAACCCACAGAGCCATCGCAGAGGTACTTCCTGAAATCACTGAAGCAGAGCATGTACCAAGCGATTCCTTCCAACAATCAACTCGTAAGTGTAATATTTTAGACTAAACACTTTATAAGCTTATTCTCTCAGTGTGTAAGTATATAATTTGTCGTATGAATTAAAATTAATAATTAATAAATCTCAAATATTTTTAAGTGGATTAGAGTATAACACTATATTATACTTTGTTTTTAATGAATAATATTAAAATATTATTAATATTTCTTGAATTCCAACAATTTAATGAAATATACACATCTATCTATTTATTTTGCATAACTTTTAAGAAGTAAATATAATTGTACAGCTGTCATCTGTACATCCCAAATTTTATAAAATAAAACGTATGTCAATATTTTCCTTTAGATGCTTAGGTACAATTTTTTCTGAATAAATGGACGTATCGCAAATGAAATTTACAGAATGAATCTTCTGAAGTTTATATTCTATTGTTAAAACTTTCAAATAAATAAAAAATAATGCATTTTAATAATCTAGAATAATGTAAGGATACTAATGAATTGTTAATTGAATTAAACAAACATGAGACATTCGTTTGAATTCTTAGTTTATTCACGCGTGCTAAATATTTTTTATAATATTTACAAATATGTATGTTTACAAATTCTATAATACATATTTACAATGGAAATATAGCTTACATTTTAAATTGGTACAAAAAATTATAATAAAGTGATAACATGGAGACGATTAAATCACAAATTGATGCAAAGCATATTTTACTAAAGTAGAAGGTTGAATTTTTTTTTTAACAAAAACATCTTTTTACTCTTACAGAATAGAACCATGCTTGGTTCATATATCCAGCAGAGTCTGTTCGGTGCTGTAACTCCACTTCCAGCCGTACTCTCATATTATCCGCAACAGACCAAGCAGAACTACAGGTTACCAGTAAGTAAAACAGAATATTAATTCAGAACAATAAATAATAGTTTAAAAAAACTAAAGAACACGCTTTATATAAAATTCAACTAAAAATAGGAAATAACGACTTTTTTTACACTATTTTCAATTTAAATTTATTAAAATTTATTTCTATTTTTTGAATATTGAATTTTATATAAAGCGTGTTTTTGAGTTGTTTTAAACTATTATTTATTTTTCATTTTTTAGTAGAATTTCAATTTTGTCAATTTTTTTTTTTTTTTAATGTTGAGTTGTCATCGGTTCTCGATAAATCTACAAAGTTTGAATGAAATCTGGCCGTTTAAAGTGGTTCAAAGTCGCGTCTAAAGAACTCAGTTACAAACATACATACAAGTGAAGCTAATATAAAGCGTGTAAAAATAGATTTAATTTCAAAAGGCCCCATCAATAGTTATCACTACACCGATCGGACTTTGTATCGAAGTTTGATCAGGATTGGCGTGAAACGTAAGTTCTCGCTGATGACCAAATATGTGACTTTAGAATTTGAATTTCATTGAATCACTACTAATTCTTATTGGAATAATTGAGTCTCATTCATCTGGCCAGAGATTGAATACTATATTAACGGTTTCAATCGAGTTTCAATAAAGAGCGGACGGTTAGCGTGGTATGATGGACATGTGAAGCGTAGAGAGAAGATGCATGTGACTAGGAGATGTATGCAAAGTAGAGGGGGAAGAGGTCGACCGAGGAAGACATGGATGGAGTGTGTGAATGATGTTATGAGAGAGAGGGGAGTGAGTGTTGAGATGACGGCTGCTAGAAGAGAATGGAAGAGAAAACTTAGCTGTGCCAAACCCATCTAGACCCATCCCATTAATAAGCTGGAGAAAACGAAGAATATTAACGGTTTTTTTATTGTTTAACTGGGTGGACGAGCTCACAGCCCACCTGGTCTTAAGTGGTTACTGGAGCCCATAGACGTCTACAACGTAAATGCGCCACCCACCTTGAGATAAGTTCTAAGGTCTCAGTATGGTTACAACGGCTGCACCCCCACCCTTCAAACCGAAACGCATTACTGCTTCACAGCAATCATTTTTTTTTCGAAGAATTTTAATCAAAAAGTTGTAGAGTTTTGTATATTTTTCTTTTTTTTATTGCCTTTTAGGCAGATGAGCATACGGTCCACCTGATGGTAAGTGGTCACCGTCACTCATGGACGTCAGCAATGCCAGGGGCAGAGCCAAGCCGCTGCCTATCATAAAATATAATATCGAACATGGATAGAAAGATGTAAAGATTACGATATTTTCCCCTACCATCGATTTCAGTAAGAGCGAAATAACTGATAAAGGATAGTATGTCTAATCGCAAGATACGTTTTCAGGAAATGGACGAGCTGAGTGATGAAGAGGAACCGCCGATCCCGGGGCCCGCTTCACGTTCCGCAGCTCGCTCGACGTCGTTAGGTCTCGCTGGTGTCAGTTCGGCTCTTGGAGTCAGCGCCGTGGGGCTCGCTCCCCAGCAGCAGCAGAAACCGGGCGACGACACGCACGACATGTCCGTCAGCACGCTGCATCTGTACGACTTGCATCTGTCGAAGGTATGTGTCGTGGCGGGCAACCTCATTGATAAAACAAAACCCTTTTGACAGGTCATAAGAACTACAACTTTTTTTTGAAGGGATTTTATGACCCGGTAACTAATACTTTTAAGTCATGTCTTATTTTAATTTATATTCTTATATTTATGAAAAATGATAATATGGAGTGAAATGAAATGAAATCAAATGAGATGGTATGGGATGAAATATAATCTCAGTAAAATGGTGGTCGTTTACTGAATTTTTTTTAGTGGGCTTGTTGGAGGATCCCAAGAAGTTACGTCCAGCGACTTTGTTTCATTTTCCCACATTTGTGCACTTTCACAGATATTAAATGGTTAATAAACCACCGTTATTACACACTTAAACCTGAAGAAACACTAAACAGACAAAATAAAACAAATCACACTACTTCACTCCTCGCGTTCCCGCCAAAAAGTCCTAAGAACTACAATGACTAGACATAGACACAGATTAAGACAGACATTTCACAAGAATTCAAAAATAAAGAGTGTAATGGAACGAGGGCGTACGTGACTAGCGGCAGGTGGTACATTTTTTGACTTCCTAAAAGACGGACACAAACGAGACGACAAGGAATGAATTGACCGTTCTCATCTACACTCTATACTAATATATAAATCTACAGGGGTTTTTACGGATGTTCCGTTATAATTACTGAACCATGCATCCGATTGACTTGAAACTTGGTATTCATGTAGAAAATACATGTACTTAATGGACAGGTTAATATTTATATGAGTGTTGGACTCTACACCAGTACAGTTGCGGGGGCGTTAATGATGAGAATCTTTGTGGGGGTGAGAAATAATAATGTTAATTTTAAATGCCCAGCGAAGCGGACGGGTACAGCTCTAGTATACATATAAAATAGTTGACAAAAGAACGAATCAACCGTTCAAGTGGTCCTCCGACCGTTCAAGTGATCCTTCGACCGTTCAGTATGAATTACTTTTCCTTTACCCGATAGTCCCAAATATAGTCCCAATAGCTAAGGAATCTGAGATGCTAAGACGATATAAAGGTAATTCTCGGTACACGATTATGTCGCTTCTCGATTTATTCTCGAGAGGTCCGACTCAACTGACTCGTCTGTAATTCAGTTCTGTGTATTAGCGAGATCACAGAAAATATATATCGAGGGGTGAAAGGCTATTTGATTTAAGCGAAATTTCGCTTAATACGAGACATTTATCTTTGTAATTAAACATCGGGTTTTCCTTGTTGGGATCGATTTTTTTTCCGTCCTATCATCAAAGGTGTCATTAGTACTATCGTCTGTCTTCATTTTTGGAAGCGGTCTCCTAACACCCAGTATATCTATATATTAATACGTGAAGCAAAACTTTGTACTCCTTCTTACGAAAATTGCACAGACGGAGGAGTATGAAATTTCCCACACTTATAGAGAACATAGAGGAGTGCAGAATGTTAATATTGTTTTTAAATTATGCTTAAAAAATACATTAAATAAAATAAAAAAATACATTACAGACACTACCATGTATTTGACAAACACACGCATGCATACTATTTGTTTATTGTCAAACTTTTCTTATTGCTTATAGTCTGTGGTCAAATTGAGAATAGATTAAATAAGGTTTGTCTTTATTAATATTTTTCTATAGTGTAGTCTTGGTGAAATTTGTGATTACAGAAGTATAATAGTCTGAAAATAGAATCATAATAGTGTACAAACTTATAATTTCAATGAACTATAATCGAATTTCGACTACCGGGGGACCACTAGTGTATAATATATAAATGTGTGTGGTATATGAATATTAAAGTTATCCTAATATTTCAGGCTGGCCCAAGTGAATCCGCGTGCTGCACTAACAACTGCAGCGGGCGACAGCGTGACGAGGGCCCTTACCACTGGGGCACCGAAGAGACGCCTCTCCTACACCGTCCCTAACATTGGACCTTGTCCTCGCCCTGCGTCCCGAAGCATCCAGTCTGGGTGTAGAACAACGCAGCGCCGAGGCAAAATCGACGACCGGTATACTATGTTAGTGTCTATTTTAGATAAACATGAAACTGTTATTTGCGTTCTTTATGCCCTACCATACGGGTCTGGACTCTAATACTGTTTTTATGTAAACGGTAAAATGTGTGTTTTTGCGTTTGGATGCGCCATTATTTCATCGTTAGTCGTCTGATGTATGACGATTAATTTGGTTTATTCGCTGTTATGATACGACCGTTTAGAACGTAGCTGTGGTCTCGTTTGGATTAAAAAAGAAAAATATATATTTTTGTTTTGTTAAATTTTCATTTATATAGATCGGTGGTAGTGGTGGCTAACAAGTTGAACGGTAAATGTTATTAAAATTATTAAAAACTGATGACTCGGGGTTAACGTTCGTACATGTGTGGGGGTAAGCATTCGCCAGCCTTCATGCGGGGTTTATTAACTGAGGTTGTTGACTTGTAGGTTTTGTACGTTTTCCAATGACGGCTCTGCAAAATAAAAAGTAAACTACCCTGAATGAATTAGTTGACTCCCAAGTTTTGTACGCTTTCCAATGACGGGTTCGCGAAATGAAAAGAGAAGTGATAATGATATCGATTTCTGGATTAGAATTAGTACTTTGTTTTCTTTTTTTTGTTAAGGTACCATATTACTTGAGTCTTGTGTTTAGGCCCGGTTTCTTTGCATTCTGCGTTTTAAAGGTAATACCAATATTGCAAAATAAAAGTTTAACCGTACAAACATTTAAAATCTGTAGCAAACGTATAAAAAAGCTAAAGCATTTTTATTGATACAAAATGAATAATAAACAAATTTCTAATTTTATTTCTATCAAAGTTGCCTTACTCTGACTTGTTGCTCGTCTTACCACTATCACTAAATAAAAACAAAACAGAATTGCACGTGAGCTCTTTGCGTCAGATTCTTGTTTGTATTGCGACGTGACGTCACAAGTTTTGGCCAACACATTGGTGAGCTTGGTCAAATCACGTCACCAAATTGATGGGATCGAGTATTTTTCTAGCATAATGCAAACGAAACTAACAGGTCCGCATTCTAAAGTCGTATCGTAAAACAATATGTAACATTGATGAGGTTGGTTACAGATTTGCACGCCCCTATTTAGAATGTGTTTGCGGATAAGCATACAAGTTTGATCCGCTTCGATTTGCCCAAAAGAGTAATATATTTTTTGAGTCACATTTTGAGGCGATTTTTTACCATAAAAGTGGTCAAATGACGACGAAATTTCTATGAACCCAACCACGGATAGTAAGGTCGATTGTTTGTAAAGGAATTGTTGCATGACGTGGATTTGACATTTTGTGATGAATGCTTTTCAAAGCTGGTACTCAAAGCGCTTGGCTTTGTTTTTCTAAACACGTTATTTATGTATTTATGCAAATCTGTAACCACAGTCTGTATTGATAACATTTTGAAAAAAAAAGAAAAAAAAATTAAAAAAATATATATTTTTGTAATTGTGTATTTTTCGTAGGTTTTTGATTTGATGGAACGCATCTGTCATTAAAATAGGGTTATAACACAATATGACGTTTGCAAGTGAATACTCAATTCAAAGCCGGTTTGCATAATACATTCGTGTGTGCTAGCTGTTGGATGCTGATCAAATTGATTTATGAAACAGGATAAAAAATGAAAAAAAAAAAAACGTTCTCATGATTAAAATGTGATAGAAAAAGTGAAAATAAAAAAAAAGCATCTTAATATAGAATACGTAGTTGTTACATATTTTTCGTATACTTCTTTTAATATATATATACTCATTCCCAAAGAAGCGATGTAATAAAATGGATAAAAAATTAATAAAATTTATTTCTTTACATATTATGGCTTTAAAGAAACAAAAATGGTTATTAAAGCAATATTAGTCTAAGTGTAGATTTTTATAGTAGTACACGTATTGCAAAGCTAAACATTGGCTCAGATTTTTTCACATTTCTTATTGAAGTGCGAATATTAGTAAACAATGCTACTCTTACATTCGTTTCGAATGAAGATGTTTAATTTGTTTAGTTGAAAATCGATGCAGATTTTAATAGATAAAAGAATTTGATTACTGTACTTAGGAATTTTTAATTTTTCCGTTTTGTTTGATGCTCTATAAAATGTAAACACGTCAAGAAGTGGATTTAAGTAATTCGTTCCTTTTTTTACCCACAAAAATAAAGAATTCCTAATTTTCTAAATAATGAATAATTTTTTTTTAGATCATTATCGCATTGTAAGCTACGTTTGCAAAACTAAATTATTCATATGTCAACCTCGTTCAGCATCAAGTCTAAGAACTAAATTGATTCAGGGATACAATATCCAAACAATGGTGGCCGCAAACAGTCCTACTCCAGAGTAGGTTAATTTCTGGGTCAGCAGTTTCGCCGAAAATTTCCTCAAAAACATCACATTAACCTGCTACAGCTAATTCTTAACTAATTTTATTGCATTAATACAAAGTTTTATTAAACGAAACTGTTTCTTCGGCAACAATAACACTAATCACCAAAATAAAAATTGCTCCTTAGAGATAAATCAGGATTACTACTAATTTCCGCGACAAAAAAAAAAAAAAATAATGGTGAACTATATGTGTGATATTGGTAGGCACCGAAAATTCGAGGACTGTCGTCGCAGCCAAGTCTCTTGAAGATTAGACACTAACGATCTATTTCTTCTTTATAACACCAGACTTGACACAATTAAGGCCATGAATGCCCACCTTTTGGTACTTAAATCGTTGCTATACCAAAAATACGGCACAAGTCAAGTTTGCTTACTTTTCAGCAAATAACCGGAGACACATTTAAAGATTTTTCAAGTTACAAGTGTTCGCTTTTCAATAGCTAGTAATATCTGTTTAAGTGTTTGTTTCTACTGAAAACTAAGCAAGTATGAGTGATGGGTTGATATTGTCAAAAATTTGCATCACAAGATGACGGAGTATTCGTTTCGATTTTGACGTTCTAATTTTGACAGCTGTCAATAAGTAGAGATGTGCAAACGCATTTCTATAATACTAATAATATGAACTAAGAACCGATACAAAAATATATCTCCTCTGATGTGTTTCTGCAGTAGATATTGAGACAATATTTTTCACTCATTTCTTGCTCTGTCGGTTGGCCTTATTTATTCGTTGTGATATTTTCAGTCGAACTTGTGATTTAATACTTATATAAATGAGTACTTATTCTACAAAGATCGGTTGGCAAACAAAGCGAGCGATTTATTTCAAAATTTTGCATATTATCGTGTTTATGAAAAAGATATGAATACTTATTTTTGGATACCTATGAATATTTTTCAAAATTTTTGCAATCGTGAAAACTTTGATAGTAGAAAAAGGTAAAATTATAAAGGAAATAATATAAGAAGTTTTTGTGGAATTCCTTTTTAGGTCACAAATCGTGTTCATAGAATCTGAAGCAATGTTATATTAGGTGATTTTATTGATAATGTTAACTCTTTTTTATTTCGACACTTGGGAAAGAAATTATTGTTTGAACATCAGTAGGGAATACGTAAGAACGTAGGGTGCGCATAATGCTGCTTGCTCGCTTACGCTAAATGCTCTACTTGGAAATATAAAAACGATATCATAAAATTAAAAAAAGAGGTATTTGTTCGTTTAAATATCTTTTTTATATCCATATAAATTTTAGAAATATTTTAGCAATTACAGAACGAAAGTTACGTTTGAAAATTATTAAACAAAAACAGTGATTACGGGAACATTGTCAATTTCGATTTGCTAAGATGTTATAAAAAAAATAAACTTTAAAGCTACGTAGTACGAATATGCTTAGTTTACTTTTAAAATTTATAATGTAAGGTTGTGCTTAACAATATTTCAGTACAGCGAATATGTAATTGTAGAGAACACGAAACCAAATCCTATAAGATAAACATTTACGAATAAAGACAAGGAAGGGCTTTGAAGTATGTTCTTGATTCAAATTTAGTATTTGTGTAAATATAGTAATAAAAAAAAATTTGATCGGGCATTATTTTAATTGGGCTGTGAATTATTTGATATCGAAGTTGAAATTTTACGTACAAAATAGCTTTATCTGGTATTTTATGAGACTTTTTATATATTGGAAGAATAATGAAATGATAGAAATCAAGCTAGGGCAATCAATATAGGTGTTTCAGTGGTAAATTAAATGAGAGTATTACAGCTTCTGTGCTGATTAAAAATTAAAGATCTCTTTTTGTTATTGGAACCCATGTTTGACGAAAATAAGTGCATTACTCTTTGAATAATAACTCTATAATTATTTATTTCCTTGCACTTATATCTTATTGTTGTGCTGTTGCCAGTTCTCTCTAGAAATATTTCTCTTTAATATAGTAGTCTGTGGTTTATTAACCTTAAAAGAACGATACTACATGACGTATTATAAAAAAAATCTGTTTAATTTTGATTCTGTTGATTTCGCAGTCTGTCCTTTTCTAGTAATGCACAAACGTGTTTACTCGTATATTATTTAGTTAGACATTTGGCGTGGAAGATTTGTAGTCGTAGTTTTATTATTAAAAAAATATGTACATTTTTATGTACTTAGTTGATTTTATTTTTTATATTTTTTAACAATGTCATGTAATGGAATGGAAAGGAATGTTGTTTGTGATGTTTTATTTTTATTTTGTTGAATCCATGATGATGAAGTCCATCATTTAACTATGACGGGTAATTTACTAACAGTGTCTAATGTTAAGTAATTAAAAAGTTAGTAATATCTCGGTAATGACAAATTATAATTATACGAATATGTTGACCGTTACAGTTAAATTTTGAATCTCATCCTTTAGTTTTAACGTTGAGTGTCCATTTTAATTAAATATCTAAATATACATGCGCCTTTTATATCGCATTCTCCCTTTAACTAACGTAATGTATAATTCTATTTTCAATCTTAATTTTATATTTATAATGTTCAATGAGATTTATTGTAAAAACAATGTTCGAAAATTCCTTTAACTGAATTTCATAGTTACGGCATTGAGTCTTCTTGATTTTAATTGGTTTATTAATTCAGGAATAGTAAAACATTTGTCAAATAAATTAAATTCGATGTTTATTGGCTAAAAGCTGAGCCGAGTAGGCATTACTCAATTACGTAATATTATGTTATTAATGAAAATGAAAAATAACCTATCAGATTAAATAGTACGAACAATCAACTATATGAGCAATACGTATGCGCAGGCGTTTGACAGTATTGCCATATTCGTCGTTTGGAAATGTTTGTTGCTACAAGACAAAAAGACAAAAGTTGCGCCATGTTGTCTAATGTCAAAATTTGAAATGTTTAGCCAAGGTAGTGTATATTGGCGATTGGTATGTTATCAAATTAAATTATCTAAATTAAGTTTCGGTGATCAGTGAAAAAAAACAACTGAACAATTTTGTTAACAAAATAACAAAATGTTTAATAATGTTGTTGTGTGCAGCGGCCGATCATCGCGAACTATGATAATTTAGATTGGGATTTAAGAAATTGAACGACCATACCGTTTATAGATTGTGTTTTATTCGTTGAATAGCTTTCATCACATGTTTTCGAACGGTTATTCTTTGAAAGGCTATAAATTGAAACAATTTAGAGATTTTTAAAAAAATAAATTGAATAGCTTTCAGTGTTGGTTACACGCGTTGCGTTTTTAACTTGCTTGGATTTGTCGAATCGCGGGCGTTATCACGAGACGTCAAACTTTTGAAATGTGACGTAAGAAACGCGGGTACGGTGTGAGTAGCGTTCAGGATAGTGGCCGACAGCATCAAACTTAAAGTTATCCGTGTGTGTTCATGTGGAATTAGCGGCGGACCGCGCGTCGTGCCTACGGTGCTTTGTCATTTCAACCGGTTTGTTCTTGTCGTCTAACGCCTCGCCAAGAGCACAGCGCTCGCGATCTATACGCTACCAAGCACTTAGAACGTAAACAAAAAAAGTATTAATTTATTTTTATGAAAAAAACAAAAAAAAACGACCAATTTCGAAATACATTTGCAATATTTAATCTACCTCTTTAACTGTACTAGATAGAACTATATTATATTTATATAATGATGTTTATGTATATTTTTTTAAATGCGTATGAGCGAAGCCCTATCCGATGTAGGTCGAGAGTCAGAGTACAATTAAAACGTCATAGAAACATATAAATACAGATATCGATAAAAACGGTTGTTGTGAACGTTTCATACACTTTTGGTCAAAAATTATCTGTAATATATTCCGACATTTCAATTTAGAACATTATTTATATAGGAATTATTAAATTATAGAATTCACGAAGTCACATGCATATGAAATGTTGAATGCATGTTGAAATATAATGTTAAAAACTTAACATTTAATTATTTGAGGTTATTTTTAGTGGTGATTTTATAAGCAATATTAGTTGGCGCTGTTTATAATCGTAATGTTATGCTTAGCTTATATTGACGTGGAGAAAAAAGAGGATTGTGGATTTAATAATAAAATGTATCTTCATTGCACCCGAAAGCAGGAAAATTCATGAGATTGTTGTCTTTAAGCACTAAAATCCGATATTAAATTTTCGAGGGTAGTTGTCATTTCACAACAGTATCTATTTTAATATAAACGATTGACTAATACCATTTGGGCTGTATCAGCGATAATCTCTAGACGGCTGTCACAGTTTAATTATATTTTGTATTATTTGTCGACGATATATTTAAAAATATCATAATATTTTGCTATTTCTTCACTATAAACTTTGCGCTGTACGTACTCTCAATTTTAATAATTACAATTACATTTTTGTAGAGTACTAGCAAAATGTTATACTCAATAAAGCCATTTATCAAGCGTATTAGGTATTAATAAGAAAAAAATATTTAGCGAAAAGCTATAAAAAAAGAATAAAAAAACGATATGTACGAATAGCTATTACGGTTTGAATATTATATTATATTTATAGATTAGTCTTGTGATGTGTTCATTTTTAATATTTTAGTGCCATTTTACATTGGCACGTTTCTTATAATATGTGTGTTTCTTATAATATGTGTAATTTAGTAATTTTCGTCGGTTAAACTGTCATGTATGTACGATTTGTAAAGTTTATTTGTAATCAAATAATATTTGTGATTGAGGAGCGTCTAAACAAAAATCAAGACATCAAATATCGCATTATTTTTTGTAATTATAATATAAAATAATCTTCACATATCTTAAGAATTTTTGATTTTAATATGAACGAAATCTACCCGTTGTTGATAACACAGTTACAGATTCTTGTTTCCGGAAAATTTGGCTATTTATGTTCAGATCAGTGTGATGAGAAACGTAAATACGGTATATTTAAATTGCCACAGTTAAAATTAAATGTCAAAATATAATTTGTCAGTTTTTGTTCCGACTCTCGTCAATATTACTACGTACAAGGCGTATTGGGAAGTGTTCTTGAATTCCTAACTGAAAATAAATTGGAAGTATCATTAATATATTAGAATAGGTATAATTCGTTTTAGTAAGATCCGGTGAGTTCGTGTATCGTAGTCACTCCAACCTAGGCGTATTCCGCCTTACTACGATCAGTTACATGACTTTCGAAAATAATAAAAATAGCATGAAAATAATAATATTTACGAATATGTTTTTTGCAATCAACACCACTGTCTTTATTTTTTTATAAGAACCCACACCTTTCAATACACCCTGTATTATATGCACACCTATGTATTTAGTATTAATGTCTTATAATAACCAGATAGGTAATTTCAGTCAATCTAATTTTATGAAACTCGAAGGTGAAAAAAAGCAAATGTTTTGGTACCTTTGCGACGTTTTCTTTATTTTATGGAATGATTTTAAAATTGACCCTTTTTTTTAAATTCCCCTTAAAATAAGGAAAATATGTATTATTGCACTTTAACGTAGATAATTCAAATAATATACATAAAATTAGTAATAATCATTCTCTTTATTGTCTCTGGTATTGCGTCATAAGGCTATGCAAAACTAAATGCTTTGTTTTACTCCGACGAAAAGAAAGCCGGTTATTTAATTTTTGAATGAAAAAAAAGAAATGACTGAACAACTTGAGATCAAACTTTACAAAAAATATTAAAACGAAAACGTTCAAGTACAAGATAGTAAGTAATGTGTGAATGGAAAGGAATTCTAGAAATGAATATTAACGAAAGAAAGATAAATAAATGAAAAGCCACATTTATGGTATTGAACTTTGTACAGCGATATATTTACATACATAATTTAAAAATTCAGTTTTAGTAATTTTATTGTCTATTTGTTTTATTTTAATGTCAATTTTACTGACCGACTCAACGATTGATCCAAAATTGGTTTTGTATCGTTTTTGATTGGAATCATTGATTTATGCGCATGAGCAATTATTACAAGTACAAAACTAAAATTGAGGTTTTTCTTTGTTTTTGTTTTAACGTAAATGCAAATTGAAATCGTTAAATATTACTCTCAATTAAAAAAAATTAACAGTTCTTCGTTGATCACGTAGTGTAGTTTGTATCGTTTGATTTCAAATTGTCGTTAAACTTTTTCATCCGATACCTGTAAATATTTAGCGCAATTTATTTAATTATAGAAAATTTGATAAGTTTATTGTGATAAAGATTTTTATTTCCGTGTGAGTTCGCCTTGTTTATAATATAAAAAAAAAAAGTAGAATTGTATTAAGAAACTTGAATTATTTTGGTAACAATAATACAATAGCATTGTCGCTATGTATCACGACGTTTAATAAACATAAATTATAGTAATATCGATTGTTTTTATTTTATTGTACCTTTCAAATTTTGCATTTATATATTACCCACCGATGTACTTTATCGTCAGTTAGAATAAATCTATAATTCAGAATCTCAGAAAAGCTTTATAAAATGTTTTTGTTCTAAATCATTAGAAATAGTCATTTCGTATTAATTTTGTTTTTTTATAATCAACTCAGGTCACGAAAACGTATAAGCTCGCTTTGCCATTGATATTATGATGTCTCAAATTTGAAAAAGAGATTTGACGCTTTATTCATGAAAAAAAAATTAAATTCAAGATAACTTTACTCAAAGACCTGCAAATGCATTATTTCCACTTCTGAGTCCCAACTTATTCACTTAGCAACGCGATTGTTTATTGCAAAATATGTATAATTTTTATTGAAATCCATTGCAATTTTATCATCGATTTTTAGAAATTTCAGGAAAAAGCCTGGAGAGGAGATATCGATGGTACGAATGATCTCTAAGTACGCATTGTGAATGAACAATTATGTTGAGTGGTAGTTCCTGGTAGTACAGGAACAGTTATTAAAATTATTATAACGATATTATATTATTATTATTATTATATTATTATTATAACGAGATTGCATTGATAGACATAATTTCGACATCGAGGCTTTAAATATTTTTTTCATTGTAAGCACCAATGGATAATGTTTTTTCCTTTTTATTTATTTCCTTGTATAATCAAATTAACTGTATATTTTCAATGTTAGTTTATTTATTTATTGCTTAAATGTGTGGACGAGCTCACAGCCCACCTGGTATTAAGTGGTAACTGGATCCCATAGACATCTACAACGTAAATAAGCCACCTTGAGATATAAGCTCTAAGGACTCAGTGTATTTACAACGGTTCCCTCACCCTTCAAACCGAAACGCATTACTGCTTCACGGCCGAAATAGGCGTGGTGGTGGTACCTGCCCGTGCGGACTCACAAGAGGTCCTACCACCAATAATTACGCAAATTATAAATTGCGGGTTTGATTTTATACACGATGTTATTCCTTCACCGTGGAAGTCAATCGTGAACATTTGTTGAGTACATATTTCATTAGAAAAATTGGTACCCGCCTGGGATACGAACACCGGTACATCGTTCAACACGAATGCACCGGACGTCTTATCCTTTAGACCACGACGACTTACAAGATTATGTTGTCAGTAGTAGCAGTAGTAGTAGTAGCGGTAGTACATTATTTGCCTTTAATGAAGTAACGACACTTGATTTCGTGGTTTGTTGTTTAGTGGATGCCGGACGTCAAATAATTGACAGGATAAAAATGTCCTGCAAGTTCATCAATAAATCACTGTGCAAACTTAATAAATGAGTCGACTATTATCAAAGCCGGCAATCTGACTTTTGGAAAATTATTGGTAAATCAGAAAAACGAATTATTGACTTTGTATTCCATTGACAGTCACAAAACTCTTCGGAACGACATCTTAGATAAATAACAGGTTAACTATTAACCTTTATTTAATGCAGGTTTTGAACCGTATTCTTTGAAGGAGACGATTATATTCAAATCAATCTGTATTGACATATCAATAACATTTTTTTATCCAAATGCACAGATTGCCACCTTTGAT